TTTTTTTTTTTTTTTTTTTTTTTTTTTCAAACCTAGTTTCCCTCCGCGCTTCAACAGTTATTTAATTTCAAAACTTCTATTTGCCAGTGTGCATCGTTTCCGACAGTATTTGACCTTCACCAGCACTTTTCACTTGAGCTGTTGTGCCAAAATAAAAAAGCACCAAAAATTCCCATTCAATTAATTTCATAGGGACTTAAAACATAACTTGTTCCACAGCTATGAAGAAAGCTTAAAATAGTAAGAAGATAACCTTCCAACCCAATATGTAACAATTAAAACATTATTGAAAGAAACAGCTTATACCACGCGCTAGAAAGAACTCTACAGTTAAAGAGTAACAACTAACCTGGACGAAAGAAATATCAGGCCTGTAGCTAAACAAAATATTAAAATTAGGCATTGCTATAACTCGCACCTCTTCTTCTGATACAGATACCAAAACCTAGAAAAAAACTTGTTACTGAAAAGATCAATATTAAAACTAAGGTACCAACACTAAAAACCGGAAGCATAGCGAATAGTGATACTGTAAAAAAGGAAAAAGAACAATTAATTAAATTTAATTAATTATCTAATTTGTAATCAATACCAAATGATAGATAATAAATAGTAAATAGTAAGCCACAAATAATAAATAATAAATAGTAAATAATAAATGGTAAATAATAGGTAACAAATAATAAATAATAGATAACAAATAATAAATAATAAAATAATAAGTAAAATTAACTAATTAACTGATAACTAAAAGTGAAAAAAAATTCTTTAAGGGAACAAACTTGTTCAATTTCATCCTCATAGTCTGAAGCATTTGAAAAAGTCGGAGAAAGACTCAACTTTGTGATCACTTTGTTTCCAAATCCCCTATCACCTGATCTCCCTATATTCTCTGCTTTGGAGTTGTCCTAAAACGTTTACAATTTGTAAAATACAAATGACAGCAAGAAACTCCAAAGCGGCAAAAGCACCTTACTTTAACATCATGAAATGCATTACACGCTGCAGAGATCAAGCAGAAAGATTTGTCCAAAAAAGTTGTGTACAAATGAGTCCCTTTCTGCCGGAAAAACCAACCTAAAATCAATTCTATTACTGTACAGCACAAAAGATGATGCCATGTCACATCAAAATTTGAAAACGTATCTCACATATTCCAAAATCAGTGTCAGGATTGACTTAAAACGAGTGGAACTAGTAAACAGAAAACGACTGATAAATTTCTACCCTAAAGGTTGACACCTGTAGCATAAAGTAATGAATTGCTTAAATTAATTTCTAGCTTAAGTGCATAATTACAAATATGCTCTACAGGTGTGACAAAAGCTGGATTCAGAGATGATGTCAGACAATGAAATCTGTATCTTCACTAAATAAAGAAAGAGGAAGCTAATTACCACTAGGAGAAACCAATGCTTGAGAGGATACTCGATTAACTGGGATTTGGAGGTTGAATACTGTACAGAAACCATTCGCGGTACCCATCCACAAACAAGGACCAGTAAAACGATCTGAAATCCAGGATATCACTGAACTTATACAAAATTCTTAAAACTACAAATACTTGATAAAAAGATTTGCTGGTCCATACTAACTTTAAAAAAGGCTTACCCCATAAATCACAAACAAGGTTAAAGTAATACACAGATATCCAAATGATTTAAGAAGTAACAACTGAACAGTTGCTTAAAATCAACATTTAAGGAAGAATTTGCAAGAAATGCTGAACAAAAGATGAGTGCGGAAAAGCAGAAAAGCGAGAAAATAAAAACCAACCATTCTTTTTCGAAAACGAGTAGATGAAACTGAGCGAGGATACGATGTCAGATGGAGTAACTTTATTTTCTTGACTGGTTTGACTTGGGCTACGTGAATCATTTTTTCCAGAGCCGTTGTTTCTTAAGTCATCATTGCTAGGATGAGTTCCATATTCTTTCCAACTCTCATCAACTGCAAAACACTAACAGCTTTTTAATAGAACCATATATTTTCACAAACCAAACTGTAAGAAAAAATTAGTGCAAAAAACCTTGAAAGCCATCTAATTCACTACTGTAAAAAATAGGTATTTTCCCATTATGATCCCAAATACGGCAAAGCCCAAATCTAAGGGGAAAATTAAGGCACTACAATCAACGATTAAGTGGCTGTCAAATTTTAACTGTTCTGAAACAACGTTTTAAAGACAAAGAAATAAAAAATTTGCAAGCCCTCG